TTATAAAGATAATAATTAAGTATTTGGTTAGAATTCAATGATTATCCTAATTATATTTTAGATTTTTTATATTTAAAATAAGATGTTTATCCTGTATTTGATTATATTTATCTGCAATTAGTTACACGAATTCAGATATGGAGCTTTAATAAGTTGTACTTACGCACAATCTACTTGCAATCTTGAATTTTAAGTAATATGCATTAATAAACAGTACTTTACGCATAAAAAATGGGTTTTAAGAGTTTTTGTCAAATACTTTATAATATAGTATATATTAGTATAATTATATTTTTATACACACTTAATTATTATTATTCTACTTGAATAATAATAATCATTATTCCGTTACAACATGCAACTACATTGGTTCACAACCATCATGTTTAATTCGAGATCTAGATGCTCATTTCCGTGCGACCCTCATAGGTTCGTGTGCCGTTAGCAGTGTTCTCATGTGACATGGGCATAAGAAACCTACAAGTAGACATTGTTTCACAATAACAATGTTCTACTATTTCATTCAAGTGTTATAAAATCAACGATACCTCTAACAAGTTGATCACTTTGAAAGCGTTAAAGTGTCATAGTCTTAGAGATAAGCCATTGAATGTATGTCAATTTAAATGATATGAGAATTAGACTTGAGAGAGTTGCTGACAAGAAGATTTATCATTTATATCTTTTAAACTAATTAATTCTCCACACGGGTTCGTCACTTGTTATAATGTTAAAGTGCAGTACATTCAGAGATGAACCACTTTGAACACACACCAACTTGAATGATATGGAAATCGGCTCGAAAGAGTGAATTTTAACAAAAAGATTTGTTCTTCCATATATTTTGAGAACACCATTCGGCACTTTCCCTGGTCCTGATACCACATAGAAATATGAGTTGAAATCTGTAATATAGTGCAATGGTGGAAGTCCGAAAGGAATACTCTCAAAATAGATGGTGGAACTAGTTATGGCCAACTGCTTGTTGTAGCATCCTTATAGCATTGTCTGCTGGAATTTGTGTTTATGTCTCACCACAAGTCTTACACTCATGCTACCTTCAATTATTCTGTTATTTGCAATTGTTAACTCAACAACCAATCAAAGTCTTCCAAAATCGTCATCTGATACCATTTCTTTCATTATACTTTTATTAAGCTTTTACTACGATCCCTGTGGATGATACTCGGTATTCTATACCACTTTATTATTTGAAAGACAATAGTGGGACTAATTGTATACTTGATTTTGGTCTTGATTACTAAGTCTGTAGGTGTGTAAAAGCTCATGTCAACAACCCTAAATTAATAGAGAACAAGTATTTTGGTTGGTTTGTGTAGAGAGAGAGAGCAACAAAACCCTATCTGGAGGTTGTATGCTAGCTAGATGCAACTGGTTCTGGTTTCATCTAAAGTAGCCTATGTTACCTTTTAATCCAGTTGAGATGTCGCATGCAAGTCGCATCCCATGTATCGAATAATAGAGAATTTCCATTCCATGCGAACTCCAAGCAACTTGGGCAAGAGGGGAGGTCACATATACCTCTCATCCATGAAGAAATATCTCATAAAATTGTATTTATGGAATAAAATTACATAAAAACTTAAACACAATATACAGACCACAAATACTTATATCTTATCACACTGTTATGCTATTTGGTACACCTCTTCCCGTAACCCCGGGTTTTGAAGTTGGTATGAGCAGCTCGTAAGGTGGAACCCCAACACCACATCTATTCCTAAGTCTCATATCAGCATTCCTTCTTTTAATTTCATCTTCAATACTTTTAATTTTCATTGAAAATCTATAGAATGCCTTAATAATGTTAGGTTCGCCAGACCAATTAGTGATGACATCCTTTATCTCCCCAATATACGACTCATCACGTGAATGTGCTGAGATTATATCAATTACGGCCATGTACTTTGTTGATTGAAACAAACTAGGCAATGATGCTAGGAAATAACCTTGTGGGTCGCCCATGAAATATGCATACTCGAGTTCATGTTCTTGGGGTATAAGTTTTTGCATAAGTGGTGGGCGTTTTGGGACATATCCACCATAGTGGTACTGCCCAAAATTAAGAGATGCATGTTGTGCCGATGAAATCCATATTAGAATGGTCAATATCTCTGTAAGTTTGTTGGGAGTGCATAGTTTGGGCCACCAATTAGCTTCACGAAGATCGGCATGCCCTACATTAATGGCTTCACTATACCATGATTGAAGTTCTTTGTCTGATATAACAACATTTTCTTCAGGGTAGTAATGATTCACATATGAAAGTACCAGCTCCTGAATTGCAGACCAAATGAGAAGCCCATCATTAGCATATGGGTAGTCTTCTATGAGTAATCTTATTCCATGGGGCTTTGATTCATCGGGTATTGCCATTCCTCTGCAACAAAGTAAGATGTCATATTTATTTGCTATTTGTTATATCATCTTATAATTTAATTAATGGTATCAGATTACCTTCGTACCAAATCTGCAGGAAGGCCTTCTAAGTCAAAGCGCCACCAATCACGGTAGGCAGCACAAGCCATCTCCATGCTATATTTTCCTGGAGAAAAGTCACGCTCGATAGTTCCTTCCGCACATATAAGGCTTTCACGTGCTGTTGCATTTATTGCGAGTGTATGTCGCATGTGGGGATTAAGAAGCTTAAAAACTGGATGCAATGAGCTCAAGTGTCGATGAGTAGCTATGATGAATGGTTCCATACATGCGTGCGCACGTAACCTATAGATCCATAACATGAGCTTATAATCAATATATGTGCTTAATTTGTATGTCATTTTTTGATGATAATCTATTTAAAGTTCATCTTTTATCACACACACACACACACACACACATATATATATATTCATCTAAATTCAGATAAGGATGTAGTAGAGTTCTTTAAAAACTTAGCGACTTCAACATGTACATTATGGTTATGTTTGGCAACTAGCTGACAAGTTGGTTGATAAGCTAGCTAATAGCTAATAAACTAGCCACATTTGATAAAACTAGCTGAAAAATTAGATAACAATAGAAAATATTTGATTAAAGACATGTTGAAAAATTAATTTATAGAAGGGGAAAAATTGGAAAAGCCCCAAAAGTTTGTTAAAACGTCATTTCAATTAGTTTAAAGAAAGTTATCATTTGGTTTATGGCTAAGGGGCTGTTCGGCACTTGCTGAATAACTTGGTGCAGAATGATTAAGAGGCTCTCATGATATAGTGCAAAATGAATTATAATTGTTTGGTAATTGTTTAGAATGAAATTAATTAGGACGCTGAATGGTTAAGGGATGCCCATGATACAAAATCATTCAGACGGTTATAGAATCATTAAGTGACAGACTTTTTTTTTCCCGGTCAAACAAAGTTCACCTCTTAACGATTCAGAGACTATCTCTTAATGAAACTATTAAGAGGCAAATAAACAACCCCTAACTAAAAATAGACTTTTCAATAAGCTTGCTTCTCGTTACCAAATATAACGTGTATTAAACATACCAATGATGAATAAGTTGGTGAACACCCGCTTCATTTGAGCATACATGAGCTTTGCCTAATTGCCAAAGCCAATTGGTGGTTGCATCAACCGGAGGAGTGAGAACTTGTCTTGATGGGATATTAGATCCGTCCTTAGGAGGAAGGCTAAGCTCGATTGCAATGGGATTTAGGGTTCCCATTGTTGTCAAGTAAAATATTGTACGTGTTCCATATGCTTTTCGACCTTCTTGAGCATTTATCCTCTCTAGAAATGGAAGATAAATATCGTGGTAATCCAATATGAAGAGTTTGTTTTCATCAATGGCCTGAAGATTAATACAAAAATAGAAAAATTGAAATCCACACAACAAAGCATACAAAAAAGTTGTATTCTTTTTGCTTTTGCAAGTATACATACCTGTTGTACCGATAAACCATTCAGGTGGCCTATAATATGCTCTTCTTTAAGATTTGATTCTGATGGTCCATAGATTGAAGGATCAAGTTTGCTCACAGGAGGAAAGACCTGTAGAATCCCAACAGAAATGTACCAGGGTCTATAATAAGTCACATATATATATGTAAAGTATTACAAAATAGATAGAACCATCTTGATTTTAAAAAAATCCATCAAAAGTCGGGTATACAAAAATTCATCGTGTTAGTCGTGCATACCCTTAACCTCTCAATGCTAATAGGGTTCATCCCTGCAAGAGTTTGGCGGCCAAGTTCGTCATCTCGTACATAGCTTGTTGTGTCCCCTGCTGGAATATTGTAAATGATGTTTTAGTTTCTTTTCTGATTAAGAAAAGGAACCTAATGTTTTTGTAGAAAGAGCTAGCTACTATGTTAGATTGGATTGACACTTACACAAAATGTTTTTTGGAGTCTCAAACTTGAAGATTTCTTTAATATATCCACTGATATCTAGAAAATTTAACAGTCCAAACCCTTTCAAACTTGTCTGATCAACTTGTGGTGCACCTTTATAAAGGCCTGCAACATCACTAAGATCCCTAGAAATTTCACTCTTTCTGGAAGTGGCCACCAAGGGTGGAATATTGCGAAGCAATCCCTTCCATGTTCCTATCAGGAATTCGGTGCGCCTGGCCCCCTCCAGAACTTCATCTCGTGGTACATATATTGAAGAAATCAACGTATCTATCCGCTTTTCCATAGTTTCATCTACATAATATAAGTTTTACGAGAGTTTATTTCGCTTTCAATCAATTTCTAGGATTAGAAAAAATAACTCACCAGTACTTGAGGAGGGACGTCCTGTACGACAACGCCTAGGATGCGGGTTTCTTTCGCCTCCTAATGTCGGTCTTGCGTGCTTAGCTCCTTTGTCGGGATCTCCAAGATCATTATATACGTCATAATCATATATTCTTTCTGAAGGTAACCTAAGTCCGTTTCCATCACCTCTTTTATTATTAAGTTCCTTAGCTCTCAAGTCTCTTAGCCCCTTGGGAGTTTGACATGGTAAATACACCTATCGAATTAATCCAGTAAGACACAAAATCAGTACTAGACTATGACTGTCATGATGATGTTGATAGTTTAGTACCAAGGGGATCATCAACTATAGCTCATATACATTTATAAATCAAACCAAAATTAACACCTAATTAAGCATTTGTCAAGTAGCTACTAGGGGTGTCAAAAAAATGAAACTTAATAATCCACAAATCCTGGTTATTTGGTTTTCGGGTATGTTGAAACAAATCATGTTCGGGTTACGTCAAATAGAATAAATAAACTCACACACCCTACTCAGCTTTGGTGAGGTTTAAACCCTTCACCTCTTAGGACTCATATACCACCCAAAGGCCTTTTGGTTTCTTTTACACATTTGTTTATACCAAAGTAATTAAATAAGTCGATGGATAATTATATTTTATATTTATAACTCTTTTGAAGTCCTAATAATATTCATTTTGTAACTCATTCTTAACTGTTCGTCTTTCGTAACTTACCCAACAAAATCGTAATAATTACAAAATTTCTAGAATGAAAACACACAAATTTTTTCAACAAATCTTATTAATTTAAATTCCTTATTCATTTTATCTAATAACCCAACCGAATAACCCGAATTGATTAAACCAAACCTTATGCAGGTTGGTTACGAGACAATTCAGAAAAGTTGAAAACCGAATAATCACTACAACAAAAATTGTTTTACAGGACGCCACCAATTTCTAAGTATCATAATAGACTGCTTTATAAGACTTAATTTATTTGACCAAGAAATAAGGTGTTCTCTGTAAAGACATTGTAATAAGTTTATATGACGCCATCAATTTATAAGAGTTCTAATAGACTGTTTTATAAGATTTAGTTTATTGGACCAATGAAAATAAAATGTTCTATGTAAAGACATTTTTGGAAGCATTAACTATCTTATTGAACATTTTTAAACTCATCTTTTTATAAGACACTTCTCTTATAAGACAAATTTTCAGATAATATTTTATAAAATAGCTAATATGATGTTTTTATATAAAAATGTTTTAAAAAACATTACGCAGTACAAAAATGTCCTATACAACTTATTAAGACGTTTTTAGATAGGACGTTTTATTTTTTTATTACATAAATTAAGAATTATAAAATGACTTGTTAGGACGCTTAGGAATATTCATCATCCTATACGCGCAATTTTATTGTAATGAAACCAACTAAATAATACCCATACAAGTAATACAATTAATTCATAATTTTACATAATCATGTTATAACAATTGAATAATATTATATATTAATGCGAGAAAATAAATTAGCAGGTAAATATGCATGGAGTTAGTAGTGAGTAAGACCAGATAAGTGGGTGTATGTATGTATAATATAGATGGTGAAGTTTAGTTAGAGGATGTTCTGTAGTAGCTTAATGAGTTGTATGATGTGTATGGCTTACTCGGTAAGCTATATATAAGTGTTCGGAAATGGCTTAATCGGCCAATAAAGTGCTTATTAGCTCAGCAATCAAAAATAGAGTTGTATACATTCAGCCGGCCCTTTTTCCTCACTACCCTTGGAAAAAACACCTATCCTCCTTCTCCATAGATCTATTGCTCTCTCCTCCTCTCGCCCTAGACACCATCTTTCTCCTGTTGCCCTCGATCTGTTGTAGATCTGTTTCCATTTCGGAATTTCAAGTATATACATGGTGATGAAATGGATCGAAGAGAAGAAAAAACTTGCTGCCCTCGATCAATCCATCTCTGAAACACCCTCTCGAATCGACCCTCTTCATCTTTGGAATCATCCCTCTCAAATTGATCCTATGGTTTTCGGTTTCTCCCCAAGGTCTTTAATTTCTCCCTAAGGTTTTCGATTTTTCCGTATGGTTTGTCTTCTAGCCTACGGTTTCTTCCCATGGTTATCGATTTCTCCCAATGCTTTTCAATTTACTTGTTTTGATTAGATGGGTTTTCTAATGAGATGTGTTCTCGATCAAATGTGGTTTCCGCATATGGTTTTTCCTTGAATGTTAATTGTTGTGAGAAACAGAGGAGAAATAGATTGATTTAATCATTGGTTTGGTCACAGAGGAGAAATCGGTTTGGTGGTTGAATTGAATGTTCAATGTAAAACGAAGGGTAAAATAGTTTTTTTCACCGTTCAGATTGTTTATTTTTTTGAAGTATAAAATACTTATTATATACGGCAAATAGAACAAATAAACTCACACACCCTCCTCAGCTTTGTTGAGGTTTGAACCCTTAATCTCCTAGAAGGCCAAAAAACTCACATACCACTAGGCCAAAAGCCCTTTGGTTTCAGATTGTTTATTCAGCACAACAACTGAATAACAAGTTACCTGTTATCATACAGACAACTTTATGAATACAAACAACTTTATCCATACAAGACTTAATGGAAAATGAACCGAACAACACCTTAGTACAGTAGATAAAGAGTGTCTGTATAGGAACAAGATATCAATTACCAGCTGGTTGGCTGAGGAGAGAAGAGAAGAGAGGAGTGGTGCTTAAAAAAAATTAAAATCTAACAAGTAGCTCAATGGAAATCAGAAAACACACATATTTAGGTCAATAAGTATTGTTTAATTTTTTTTTATTAACCTAGATATCCAACCCGCTATGTAAGTCGACTAATCTCAGGGTAGATAACGCGGAGTCACCGCATTTGAACGTCTGTGGCCACAAGGGGAATTTTATTCCTTCTTGGATTTGAACCTGTGACCTTCGGGTACTTTTGACCTTTGGAGCCAAACTCAAACCAATAAGACACCACACTTGTTGTTTATTGTTTAAATTTTGTTAACATTATTGTAGGATCTATTATCTGATTGTATAGATTTTCATTAGAATCTAGATATTAAGTTGAATTGGATGATGATCTGTATACCTTGTTAGCAAAGAATATCCTTCTCTGTTTGCTAGTTTGAGCTGGTTGAATCCAGGAGTTGCATGAAAAGTGAAAGAAACCTTCAAGGGAGATGGCATCCAGATACAACTCCTCTTCGTAATTGTTTCTCACCAGGATGGCCCCTGGTTCTCCAAAGTCTGCATCAATTACTAGCTCAACTTCGAACGTGAAACAGCCTCTATCATTATCTTTTTCATCTGTTGTACATTTGGACCACTCTTTTACAGATTCCTTGCTCATCTTTGGCTTCATGGTACCTTTCATAAACAAATGAATATATGTATGTATGTATGTATGCATGGTGTTAGTGGACATTCATCATATGTGTAAAAACAGAAACAAACTTCAAGAATATCAATCTTACTTGGATCTAGTTGGGTGCTAACAAGTTGAAAACCAATACCCTTCACCACAAACTTATCTAACGAATCATTTCGTGAATATAACCATGGGAACGACTTTATCATCTTCTTAACCAGATTGACTTCCTTGCTTATCCTGATACTGACAGTTGCCGTTAGCTTCGAGAACGAGGATGCATCAACCTTTACCTCCTCCATAGCCATGGAAGTTTTCACAACCTTCAGGTTGCAACCAGTTTTCCACTTGCAAGAAGAATGGAATGAAGGGATTGTAAATGTCGTAGTTTTACCAGAAACATACTGGTAATTAAGAGGGTAAACTGGAAGAGTGTTTATTGTGGTCTTCATCTCCTTGTGAGGAAAAGAAAAGGAAGCCAACATGTTCTTTGCTCCTGCCATTTGATACTTAATTTCAACAGAATCTAACTTCAGTCACTTCACTTGTGAACGTTATGGTATATGGTTTAATTCTGTAGTTATTTTGTATTTATAGACAATAGAAGTATATTGAAAGCACATCCACAAACCGACACACACATGCGATCATCCTGACCAAAATGTGACAATTTTCATGGATTTTTCTTTTAGATTCTTTTATATACTCATACACATTATAAACATGGTATCAATTGGTCATATTTTTCTTCCCTTTGCCCCCTCACAGGGGCGTATCACAAGCTTTCTAACCCAGGGGCGGAACCTAAATTTTATAAATTGCGTTATATAAACGAGTATAACTTGCTTCAATATAAAAAATCTATATATTCTCTTAAAAGTACAAAAAAAAAATACCCAATTTTAAACAAGATAAAAAGTGAAATCTTCAAACATCCTTCATGAAAATGGAGCATATTTTTGCAGCTTTAGCAGTTGTTTACCTAAATGCTTACCGGGTAAGTGCTTACAATTAGAAGTTAACATTATAATTTATTATACCGGGTAAGATTGTAGTACATCAAAATGGTATCGTATACAACAATTTACTCGGTAAGCATTTACCCGGGTAAGAGTCGTCACCCTCTCTTACCGGGTAAGACTCTTCATCTTTATCATTGTTCTTATCGGGTAAAATTTTTGACCCTTGCCATGTTCATCTGGTAAACACTTGCCATGTTCATGATCTGGTAAACACTTTCCGGGTAAATGTTTAGTATACGGCCCCTTCATGTCATCTAGCTAATCTACCGAGCAATTTTTGTCTTCTGCCGATATTCTTGAGCTAAACTTCCAAGATTCCATTTTTAGACTGGCATCCCCAAAAATTAGTTTAATGATAAGCGTTTATAACCGGTAAAAGTCACCACACTACAACAAAATTGAGTTTATAGGATGCCACTTATTTCAATGCGTCCTATTAGATTGTTTATAGGGCTCAATTTAGAGGACCAAAAAATAAAAGGTCATATCTAACGGCGTTCTAATAAGTTTATAGATAGTTTTAACAAGTTTTATATGACACTTTTAATACAAAGCGTCCCATTACCTATTTTATAATACACTTTTGAAAAAGTATCTTATTAACCTATTTTTCTGTTGAATACTTGTTTTTATAAGACATTTTTTTAAATAATGTACTATAAAATAGCTTATGAGACGTTTTGTTTTAAAAGTGTCCTATAAAACTTGTACAAACCCCCAAAAACGTCTTATAAACTTATTACAACGTTTTTAGATATGACCTTTTATTTTTTGATCCTATAAAGCAGCCTAATATGACGCTTTGAAAGTGGTGACATCCTATAAACTGAATTTTATTGTAGTGTCACATTCATTTACCGAATAAGACTCTTGGTCTTTGTATTTCCTTCTTACCGGATAATATTTCCCTCACTTACCGGATAAGATTCTTAGTCTTTGTATTTCCTCTTACCGAATAATATTTCCAATCCTTACAGTAAGATAATTGAATCAAAGTATAAACCACCCTAAAACAATAAATTTATAGGACGTTTTTGGACATCGTAACAAGTTTTTAGATCATTTTCATAAAAAGGCGTCATATTAGCTAGTTTATAGGACATTATTTGAAAATGTGTCTTATAAATCAAAAGTGTCATATAAAAAGATACGTTTATAGGACACTATTTGTAAACCATGTTAACCAATCACAATCCATTCTTCTATTAGGTTTCAACCCAACCCAACCCAACCTGTTCGGGTTGATCGGGTTGATCGGGTTGTGTTTAAACAATGTAAAATCACATAAAAATAAAGGAAACTTTCCTTTGAAATACGACCGACCATTCAAGATAATATGCAAGTTTATCAAATATTTAGATATTACAATAAAAATGTTTAAACCAAATGATAATACATCAATCAATAACAATAGTTTTAGACGTTTCCAACCCCGATACTTTCGCTTTCTTGACGTTGAGGTTGGTCATGTCATGATTGTCATCTACAATTCAAAGCTAAAGTTAAGGTCGGGTTCATCGGGTTGTCGGGTTGGTCGGGGTTTTTTTGGGCCTGACCCGATTCCAATCCAATAAGGTCGGGTTGACTAATTTTTTTATCGATCATGCATCGGGTTACCTCGGGTTGGGTTTTTTTTTAAAAATTCGGGTTGGATTGGTCGGGTTCATCGGGTTTTTGAGCACCCCTAATTAGCACCACAAATGAAAGGAGAGAGAGAGAGAGAGAGAGCACTCAATTAAGGAGGTGGCAATGGAACCACAACTAGCGTGTAGGTAAAGAGAGATGGGACATAGGGAGGTTTAAAACCTTGTATCTAGCGAAATTAGGTGGCATCTATATATCATGCCAAGTACACTCCATTATATATGAATTGTTTACGCAAAGTTAAAAGTATGAAAATTATATTTTGTTGTCTTATTTAACAGTTTACATATGAAAAGAAGTAAAATGATATTATTTTTATTGGTAAGCATTTATTTAAAATATACATTTTATTTTTTTTTCTTTCATTAAACTATTAATAACAAAAATAATCATATATTATTCAATATATAATTGCAAATAGGGTTATATTGGTCATTATATTTGTGGTAAGAACTTATCAAAAACATTTGGTAAACATTCTTACCCGGGACAGCACTTACCGGGATAGCACTTATCCGGGTCAGCACTCTTACCCGGACAGCACTTACCCGGTAAGATTTGGTAAACAGCCCCTTAGTCTTTGTATTTCCTCTTACCGAATAATATTTCCAATCCTTACAGTAATATAATTAAATCAAAGTATAAACCACCCTAAAACAATAAATTTATAGGACGCTTTTGGACATCGTAACAAGTTTTTAGATCATTTTCATAAAAAGGCGTCATATTAGCTAGTTTATAGGATACTATTTGAAAATGTGTCTTATAAAATCAAAAATGTCCTATAAAAAGATACGTTTATAGGACATTTTCTCAAAAGTGTCCTATAAAATAGTTAATGTGACGCTTCATATTAAAAGTGTCCCAAAAAACTTGTTAAGACGCACAAAAGCGTCTTATAAACTTATTAAAACGTTTTTAGACAGGACACTTTATTTTTTGATCCTATAAAGTAAATTTTATAAAATAGTCTATTAGAACGCTTAAAAACTGGTGGTGTCGTATAATCTCAATTTTGTTCGCCCTTACTTACCGAGTAAGACTCTCGACCTTTTTTTTTCTCTTAACGAATAAGATTTTTGATCGTTGTCATATTCATGATTAAGGTAAATACTTCGTAACTATTTGGTAAATGGTACCTTACGTTTACCAAGACATGCAAGTAAACACATATCAAGTCTGAGTGTTAAAACACAAGAGATTATATATATATATATATATATATATATATATATATATGGACAAGATCAAATGTTAACCAAAGTTTTTGTGTTAACTTTGTAAACCATGTTAACCAATCACAATCCATATTCTTCTATTAGGTTTCTTCATAACTTAATGCCAAGGGTAATTGATTAAAAGGGAGTTGCAAAATCATAAAATTCTTAAACATATACATTTATAATATTGATATTTTTATTTATTTTTTAATCTTGATCTTCCATTTTTGTTGTTTTATGAGTTTTTGATTCGTGGAGGAAACACGGTAGTAAAATATTCGGTATCGTTCAAGCTATTATGGATAAATGTATTGGAAAAAAAATCGACAACATTGAGATGATTAAAATGGTTTATGGTGACATTCGGGGTTCGAGTTCAGGAAGTGAATAAATTAACCAAAGCGAATGTCTTGGTAATGGATTAATATTTTATTAGACTCGGTTTAATCGAAATTATGTTCATTATGATGTGTTTTGTTTTTTGTAGTTCATATTGCATTGATAACTTTTTTATTTAATAATTAATACGTACCTAATTCACATGTTCAAATGGAAATACATGTACGACCCATTTTCATATTGTCATATTACCGACTTTTATGAATCATGAATCATTGTGTCCATGTTACTTATATCATATGAACACGAGTGTTACTTTTTATGTTTGATACCAAATCTTTATATTTGCGTAAGTGTTTGTACCCGGTGTTCATAGCGTCAGGGTTATGTGTTCATATATTTTATACGATATGAACAAGGGGTGAACAACCACATAAGACTAGAAACATATATGAACAAGGGGTGAACCTTAAACGGTGTGGATACAATGCATGTATAAAACTCCAATTGACAAAGGATCGCTCCTGAATGTGTTTATAATGAAGAAACTATTGTTCACAAGTTGTTCATATCGTGCTCATACCTTTTTATTTATTTATTTCCTTTCGTATAATAGTTATTGTTATTATGTTCATAAATGCTATGCAGTCCAAGTTCATATATATGTCAATTTTATGTTCATATTTGACACAATGGTTCATATATATATATATATATATATATAGTTGTGTTTATATGGGTCTTACATTAACAAAAATCAAAGAATTTTTTGATTTTGTAACTCCAAATTGATGATATGGGAGTTACATAATTTTTTTTTACCTAAATACCCTTTTCAACTTTATTCACTTATCTTTATGAAATTTTAAATTAAAAAAAAATTTATTATGATTAATCACGACCGTTTATTGAAAGATTGAATGGCCAAGATCGGTTAACAAAGTTAACACAAAAACTTTGGTTAACATTAAAAGAGAATTAATCTGGTACATCTCGGTGCACTTAATTAGTGTTGAGACCACCTTTTTACACATGAAACTTCACAGCATATGTGACTTTTTTTAACATTCACACTGTTTTTGCTGTGAAGTTTCAAGTGTAAAAATGTGGTCTCACGGGTCTCACGAAAACA